GTCCATTCCTCTGTTGTTTATAAACCTTGCTGAAGGGTTTATCTGAATCATGTCAAAGGGAATGAAGGGAGGGAGGGAGGGAGAGAGGGAGGAATAAAGAAAGGAGGGAGAGAGGAAGGGAGAAAGAGAGGAAGGAGAAGGGAGGGAAGAAAGGAAGGAAGGAGGGAGAGAGGGAGGGAAGAAGGAAGGAAGGGAGGAGAAAAGGAGGGAGAAAGAGAGGGAGGGAGAAGGAAGGAGGGAGAGAGGGAGGGAAGAAGGAAGGGAGGGGGAGGGAGAGAGGGAGGGAGGGAAGGACAGATGGAAGAAATAAAACCATAGCAGGACATTTCCAACAGAAGTGATGTGACCCAAGACTTAGATGAAAGCGCCAAAGTTAGGGTCTGAGGTTTGTGGGTCCAGGAGAGCCTGAGTTTGTCCTGGTCACCAAAAGCCTTCTTGTTCTTTTACCACCTCATGAATTTGATTCATCTTTTACCTATTCCAATGCCTCTTCCTCTCTGAATTTTCCTGGGCCATAGCCAGGACCTAGAAAAGTGAGTCATGCCTTCACCTGTGATCATAACCATCGTGCACGTTCTGGGGCACTTTACCTGCCTTCACCGTGATCTGTTTACACAGGCCTCTTCTCCAGCTGCCAAAGGCAGACTGTCTCTTTCTTCCTTTTACTGCTTGTATGTGGCCAAATGCCCAGCACTGTGTTAGGAAAGACAAGTCTCTCTGGCACCGGGAACACGGCACCTGGCTGTACATTTCTACACTGTGCAGCCATGCCGAGCTGATGGAGCAAAGCGGGCTGCTGGGTTGGCGTGGGATGCCTCTGCCAGAGGAAGGGGGCCTTTCTAATCACCTGGCACATCTATCCTGGGGAAGGAGGATTGTTCAATATATATCATGCCACCAACCAGCCTTGCAACCCCACAACTGGCTGAGAATCAGACCTGGGGACTTGAAGAATGGCAGAATATGAAGGAAATAAAAATGTTCCAAGGTATTATTACACCTTATGAAATATTCCCCTTACTAGCTGGGCCTGACAGTGCACACTCGTAATTCCAGCACTTGGGAGGCAGAGGAAGGAGGATCAGGGTTTAAAGTCTCAGCTACACAGCAAGTTTGAGGATAACCTGTGCTACATGAGACCGTGTCTCAAAAAACAAAGTTTCCACGACTCAATAGTCAAACCTTATAGTTATCTGATTTTTAAGGAACTCATTGTCAATCATGAGTAAGAGAAACTTGAGTGCAGTGCACGGTGTTTTCCGATGTTACTTATCCATAATTACCACCTTTTAAAATGTAGAATTATGCAATTATGCCCAGGAGTTAGTCATCTAATGAGTCAACCAACATTTTTGAGCATTTAGCACTGGTTACATGTTTACTGTGGACCAGGCCCCTATACACTGTAGTGAAACCTCCTAATATTCAATACTTGTTCAGAGGAAGGACTTTGCATTTCTCTTTCTTTTTCTCTCTTTGAGGCAGGGCGATTTGTAACTCAGAGTGGCTTTAATCACTTAGAGCAGGGGGTGACTGTAAGCTCCTGTTCCTCTTCCTTCATCTCCCAAGTGTTGGGATTTTAGGCACATACCACCATACCTAATTCATAGGTTCTTCATTTTGCTTTGTTACATGTATTTATTTTGTGTGTGTGTGTGTGTGTGTGTGTGTGTGTGTGTGTGTACACGTTGATCCTGTGGAAGTAGGACAATAACTTGCAGAGGTTATTTCTCTCCATCTACTATGTGGGACCTGTGATTGAACCTAGGTCCTCGGGTCCAGAGGCAGGTGATTTATCCACCGAGCCTGTCGGTTTTTTCCTGGAGAGCACCTAACCTGCTGTTCCAACAGAAACTGCAATTGCAGTTTTCTCCACTTTGTTCTTTGATTCCCTTGGTTCCTGAGCCATCCTGGGGATACAGCCATTAAATGTTTCATAGATTTAGCACATATCAAAAGAAAAACAATGTGGAGGAATATTTATGTCACATGGTTATAGTAAATTGTTTCTGCATTAATTTTTCTAATCAAAATGATCTAACATTTTTAAACAATGATATATATGTATACATATATATCATATATGTGTATTATATATCATTACTTTAAAATTTGATTTAGTATTTTAGTTCTATATATTTTGGTATATGTTGTATACATACACACACATATATATACATATATATTCACACACACATATATATACATATATATTCACACACACACACACACACAAATGATTCCAGCTGTTCCTGTGATAATGTCACTCCAACATGGAAAAGGGTGGAGGCACAGCTGTGCAGCAGAGCTATGAACACTTTAGTTCTATTACAGGCTGAGACAGGTGCCTGGGGAATGCAGCCGGCCTGTGAGCATCTCCCAACACCTCTTGAGTCCAGGACTTACCATGCCATTTCTTTTTTCTTTTCATCTTTCATCTAATCCCGCCCCTCTGCTTTTCCCACCCCCTTTTGCTGCCTTCAGTACCAAGATAAATTCAACAACTTCTCTGTGTAGTAAGGCAAGGTCTCCTGTGGCCCAGGCTAGCCTTGAGCTTGGCGAGTGTGCAAGGATGATACGCATTTCTGATTCTCCCACCTGCAGCTCTGGAGCATGGAATTACAGGCCCGGCCAGCAGCCCCAGTCAATCCACTCTGCGTCTGTCTCAGTGTCGGGGTGGATGGTCCCTGGCAAGCACCACTTACCTTCTTCCTCGATACTTTCTTGTGTGTCACCAGCCTCCACACTGGGACTCTCTCTCTCTCTCTCTCTCTCTCTCTCTCTCTCTCTCTCTCTCTCTCTC